GATCTGGGAGAGTACAGCAAAACACAAAACACATGCTGCAGTCAACAGATTCTCTTCAACAACAACAACAGTAATTTGAAAACCCCTGAATATTAATAGTACAATTTTGTAAAAGATAATGAGGTTAATTGGGGTGTTTTACCTTCTAAGCATCTGCTCTTCCGTGTTTCCCTCCCCCTAGGTTCCTGGGCATGGATTTGATAGTAGTGGCTGATATCTAATCCGTTGTACACTTTTTCATTCCGTGCCAGATGCAGTGTGAGTTGTTTGCCCTTTTCCTGCTGCAAGCAGATATCCCTCATTTCTACATATCCTTGTTTGTTAACATTCTCCTAAATAGCCCTCAGCTGGATTTTTGACCTGTCCAGAGCTGCTACCCTGTATTGCTGGCAGAGGGTTTCAAATTGCATGAAGGGATTCATACTCATTGCCCACGTTCGGAGCACAGTGTTGAGCACAGTGTATTCTGGCCCACCTTGGACCCTCATTGCTGTCTCGAGTCCTGTGATGGCTGCAGTGAGACTCTCTAAGTCTGGGTGGTTCCTCATAAACTGATCATACCTCCTTAAGTCATGGAGTCTCCTAGTCACTGCTCATAACAGGCTGTGGGGAATGGGGTTAAAGATCAGCAGCTGTCCCTGTGATGAGGTGGTGATGATGAGGGCCTACCTGAAACCATACAGAAGCCACAGAGAAAATAACCTCTCCAAATTGACATTGCAGCTGAAGTGAGTGATGACAGACAAAGTGCCAGGCAGCGCAGTGCCAGGAAACTGTTCTCTGGGTGTTGCTGGAAGCCCCCTGCCAAGGTTGGCTCTGTCCCTTCACAGTCCCAGGCTGCGGACAGCAGCAATGAGCGTGTAATGGGACAGGGGTACTGTGAAATGACCTCATGTGGTTTGGGGATTGCCACCTTACTCACAGCACTATGTTCAGAATTCAGCATTCAGAATGATCTCTTATGACTTAGGATATAAGAACACATGCATATCCCACAGACATGCAGAAAGTGTGTGTGCAGAAAGCCCCGGTCCTCTGAATGCCAGCTATCGTGTGCCATGCATATATAGACTGTGTGCTGTCACAGTGTGTAGCATATGTACAGGTATGTGAAGCACGTGCCTACTGTATGCAGAAATACACGCACTGACTATTTAAATTGCTTCGAATTACTGTTGTTATTTGCCAGAGTATTTTCAGCATCAATCTGTTTGTGATACGTTGCCATCTCATACACAGGAAGGTGTCAGTTATTGCAGACAAGTCTAAGTTCCGTGACAAATTTATCTTCAGAACGTGAAAGGAGCCCAACTCCAGAGAAAGTTGCCGTCTGAGGACTGAAAAAAGGAAGATGTCGAGTCCTTGAGATGTGTGAGCAAAGTGCTAACAGAATATTTCGTAGGAGAAATGCATCCTTTGCTCTGTGCTCATCTTTCAGTAAAGGCGTATTTGGCACTGCAGCTATCCACAGCAATTGGCAGCAAAAATATTGCAGTCAGTGTTGAGATAATGAATGAACAATTTCAGATCTCTTAGAGCGGTCACAGGGAGGGAAAAAAACTGAAAAGTCTGCAGATTTCGGAGACACATCTGAAGCTCACACGTACATTTCGGCACAGCGAAGGGCCTGCCCGCCCTGCAAACCTGCGGCTCCTCAGGAGACTGCGTGTTCTTTGCTTGCAGTTAAGCGGGCTTTTTACTGTCGTATCCCAGGACAAAACAAACAAACTGCTTCGGTACTTCACAGATGTTCTTTTAACACCGTGAGGTGGTGGGAAGCTTTTGGAAGGACCGTGTGTCCGTAGGACGGGTGTGAATTCCGCTGAGCTGCCCCGCACGCTTTGGGGACAGAAAAACCCAAACGTGCTTTAGTTGAAAGCGTGCTGCCAAGAACTTATGGAAGCGATTGCACCGGAGAACTTTCCCGGTGAAAAGAGGGAAACGCAGTGAAAGGACTCGCGAGTGAGCGGCCCCGCTGCCCGGGCTCCTTTCGGGCACCTCCATCCCCGTCCTTCGGGGCGCGGGGAGCGGCTGCGGGACGGCCGCGCGTTCTCTGTGGGCGTCCCGAGCCGAGCCAGCGGCGAGCAGAGCGCGTCCGTGTGTGCGCCGGGAGCGCGCATTCTGCAGCCGGGCGGCGGGCAGAGCGCGCCTGGTGCCGGGATGTTCGAGATGTTCGTTGGTGCGGGGCCCTGCTCGGCCCGGGCGGGGCGGCCCGGCTCCGGGAGTTGTTCGCTCCCCGGGCGCGGCGGTGCGTCGGGCGTCGCTCAGCGCCTCTAAGGGGAGCGCCCCTGGGCAAGTCCTCACCGCTCGGGGATCCGCTACCAGATAAGATAGGGATCTGCTGCGGAAATTTGGAGTTATCTGCTATTTCATCTGTACTGCTAGATGCGGGTGCTTTGCTCCATTCTGTTTTCTCGAATCTTAAGTGAATTGTGAAAGCCGAAATCCGGCGCATGATACCACTCTGTGATTCTGTGACATTCAGTTCTCCGTCCCGTGGGAGCGGTTTCGGGACACAGCTTACGTGTATCGGTGCCGTGCGGGGTGAGAAAGGCGTGTTGGGATGTGAGTTTCCCTCAGAGCCCTTCCAACCCGTGGTTCACGCGTTTTCCTTCTTTTTTGCTTCTTGATTATCCCCCATCCCCGAGGAAGTGGCACACGTTGATCCCGCGCATCTGAAAGTTGCAGCCTCCCGGTCCCACGCACTGATGATTTCGTTTCCGGCTATCAGCAAAATGAGCTTTAAGCCAATTTCGTGCTTCGGGCTAAAGAGAGTGATTCGTGTTTCCCTCCTCGGTGCTTGGCATTCCCGGAATCCCTTTGTCAGCTTGTTGTAGGACGCTGCTGTAATTTGCTCGGAAACTCTCTCCAAGAGCTGTATGCAGCTGTTAAGAACGACGTATAATTTCTGAGCCATCGGGATGCTTTGTCTGAAAAAAAAAAATCATCTTTCCTCGCTAAGTCCGCATTAAACTGCTCGGAGCCCGGTTCCCATTTAACCCAAAGCACCTCTATAGGTAGCGAAACGCGCCTTTCCTGCTAATCCCTTTCCTTCACCGCTGTGAGTAACAAAATACCTCTTCTATTGAAGCGGCACTTTCTTCCCTGATGTTGCCCAGTGTTTAGGAAAGCACTTGCACGATTTCCCCAACTTTGGCACGTTCGGGTTCTCATGCCACTGATGTTTCTTTCCTTCGCGCTTTAGAGGTGCAGTGATAGCAGTTCTCTGGTGTGCGCTCCGCTGCCCTCTGGGCGCTAAGCCCGGGCAGAGCAGTGCCTCCATCCGCCGGCAGCGGGGCCTGGGGGCCGGGGGCGGCACGGGGAGGCCGGAGAGGCCCGGAGCCGATCGGAGCGGCCGTGCGGGGAGCGGAGGGAACGCGGCCGCCGCCCCCGGGCCGCTCGGAGCCGCCTCAGCGCCGCTCCCCGCTCCCTCCCCGCTCGGCTGGGGCGAGCCGGCACGAAGATGTTTATCCTGAGATAGAAAATGGGTTGTTGAAAAACAAGCTATGCGCAAATAGTTTAATTTTCCGTTTTGATGCTTATCTTTGTCTCCCGAATTTCATCGGAGAGGCTTTAATTGGCGTGTGGGTAATAGTTCCTAAATAATCCCTTATTAGATGACTTCAGACGAGTTGGGAACCAATAACGTCTTAGTCCCAAAAGTGAAAGTAGAATTGGAAGGCGTGGGTCAGTTTTTGTCAAAGGGCTCATTTGGGCATCTTTGCGTCTGCTGAAAAAGCTAATTAAAGAATGTTTGAAGGTTAAAGTCATTATTCCGTGCTGTTGTCGTGCTACAAGTGAGCCGAGTTTTGTGAAAACACAAAGGGCAGAAGTCACAGAGGTGGATTACTGTCAGCCCCTGCTACAGAGGCACAGAGCACTGTGGCATTAATTCCTATAGAAAGGTAGACAAACACAGGCACTGCCTAACAACTTTCCCGCAGAGCCCCATTGTCTAAGCACTTTCTTTGGCTTCGGGGCTCTCCTCTGCTCGCTACAGTCTCAACCGCATTGAGAAGCGGGCAGCGGGCAGCGCTTTGGGCGCGCGATTCCGGACCCGGGGAAAGCATTTCCCAGCTGCGCTTCTCGCCGGTTCAGCGCTATCCATTTTCCCTGGGAGCGCTGCCCGTGTATTCGTTTCTCGGCGCAAAGTTGGCGGGGCACGAGAACTCCGCTGCAGTTCGCTGCCTCCATCCGCACGGCGCGCCCCGGGGCCGCGGCTCGGCGGCCGCAGCTCGTTGCGGCTCCCGGCGTGCGGGGACGAGCGGGGAACCGACGGAACGAGGTCGGCCCCGTTCCCCCGCCGGGAGCCGCTCCCGGGCTGCGGGGGGACGGCAGCTCGCCGAACAACGCGCGCAGAGATGCGCACCCGCGCTGCTCGGCCCCGCTTCTCGCGGCTCCTCTGCCCCACGGTCCGGGTCGGAGGGGCCGCTGCGGCTGCGGAGCTCCCCACGTTCGGAGAAACAAATGTTTGGGCTGAGCTGAGGGTGGGGGGTGGTGGGGGGAACCCTGCAGCTGCAAGTCAAAGAAATATATTGATAAAATATTTCAGTAGTAGTAAATACGCGGGGATCGGCTCGACCTTGCGAGGTCTTCATTTTAATTTTTTTTTTCTCCCTATATACAAAAATCTTTATCAAACCTCTATTCTATGGCTTCAATAAACAGAACCCATTACCTCACGGCAGCTTTTGTTGGCCTGTATACAAGCGAGAACAAAATGGTTATTCAAGAGAACGCTTTCGATTTTTATTGTGTGTAGTATGCACAAAGAGCAGTGTTATTGTATTAAAAAGAACCATCTGTAGCAGAAACAATGGCATCAAATTATCTTTGAATACCCACTGCAAAAATATAAAGCTTTTTTATTATTCTTCTGCTGTACGGTGGGGGACAGAGAAGTGACTTTTTTGTTGTCGTGGGTGCATTCTTATAACACACACAAAATCAGCCATTTGGATTTTTTAAGCCATAAACGATTTTTTCCCCTCTTGTTCCAGGGACCGCAGTTAAAAGCTAGGGCTAGGACTTGGAGGATGTGTAGGCAAACGGAAGGAGAGCCGGGGGAAGAAAAGCCGAAATGGATTCATTCTCCGTCCTGGCTGGAGGAGGAGAGGAGCGGGGACGTGCGGGCTGCCTGCAGCTGCCTCTGTCCGGTGAGAAGTGCTCCCAGCCCCGCGGCTGACTCGGGCTCAGGAGTCCGCGCGGACTTTCTCTCTAAGCTGCCAATCAAACCGCTAACCGCCACCACCCTGCGCCGGCACCGACATGTAAGTACTGCACCACAACTTTGACATTCATGGCGTTCCCCCTTCCTCCCCCGTGACCTTTAAAACGATGGAGAAATACGGCTGCCGCTTAGCACCCGCCGCTCCGAGCTCGACGGCGTTACACTGAGGGACTCGTGCGCGGGTTTGGGTTTGCCCTCAACTGCGCGGCCGCCGCTTTGAGACCGGAGCGCCGGGCAGGAGCGGAGCCGCCCGAGGCCGCCCCGCGCCGCCCGCCCCTACGCCGGCGCGTACGGACCGAGGGGTCCCCGCGGGCCGCTTCGGCCAGGGCTGCTATTTCGGCGGTGCCCCTCGGGACGAACCGCAGAGCGGGGGCAGGTTGCGCTGCGGGGCGGCAGTCGTTTGAGTCACGCCGGCGCTGCACTGCACCGTCCGGGAGGCGGCCGAGGCGCTCCGCGGGGCCGGGGGCGGCCGCGCTGCGAGGGTTACCTGGGCGCGCAACGGGCGCGCAGCGGCGCTGGCGCGGCGCCTGCGGCGCCTGCGCTTTGGCGCCCCCTGCCGGCGGCGCGGCGCCCCCCCCCCTCCCGCGGTACCCCTCCGGTGGGGCGGCTCCGGGGCCGCTCCCGGGGAAAGGGGGGACGCCGGGGGGTCTGCGGCCGCGCGGGGATCCGTGCAGAACCGTGCGCTGGGAGACGGGGTACGTGGACGACGGAAGAGACGCGGGGCGTCCCTTGGCAGAACCCTCGATGGGCGAAGGGGAAGTTGCGAGTCGGTCGATGCGTGTCACTGCTTGCGCCTATCGCTGTCTCCTGATGCACTGCGATTTGGGCTGGGAATGATCGATTTTGACATTTTGGGTCATTATAATGCCGCTTAAAGGGAGGCTCTTTTTAGTTACAAGTAGCAAAGTTAAGGTTGGGTTTTCCCCCTTTCCCCCTTCCGCCCCCTCCTCTGATTTTTGGGGTAAGAATTTGGTAGATAAAGGTTAATCTTGGGCTGAATGATAGAGCTGTGATTGACAAGAGAAAAGGTGTTGAGGGCAGGTCGAGCTGTCTTATTTACAGCCCACTGCTTGCTATAGAGCCTTTGTTAGGCCTGGAAAGCTAATTTAGTGCTGATCAAAAGCACCACGGAGTTAAAGGACTGGTAATGACTGCTAATTTCATTTCAGCCTCATACATCCCCAACCGCTGTAATTAAAGACGTGCTATTTAAATACAGGTGAAGAGTTTTTGTAGCGGGGGGAAAGTGGGCAGCCGGGTACCATTTTAGTTCTGCTTAATGTGGTCAGAGAGCACCGTGTGCCGCGGGGCGAGCGCTGCTTTGTGCGGCCCCGAGGGGACAGCCCCGACCCGCCGGGTTATGTGGGTTTAATGCCTCCCGTGCAACGGCATCGGGAGCGCTGGGAGAGACGAGACGGAGGGTTTGTGTCAGCCGTTAAGTGCCTCAGCGGAAGCTCGGGTCTTCGTATTATGATTATTTTTAATTAAATTATTTTCCCACTCCACGGCCGGCTCCGAAACGATGTAATTTCACAACTGATGTAACAGTTTCTTTCTGAGACACATCAAAGGATAAAAGCTCTGCGTTTTCGTGGTTGGTTAAAATTGCTACCAAAAAAAAAAAAAAAAAAAAAAAAAAAAAAAAAAAAGAGTGAGAGAGAATTTAGCCTTTAATCTCTTTTATCTGCCGAGCCTGAAGATCCGCACTCGACCCCGCTCCGCTCCGGGCTCTCCCCCTCTTCCGGGGCCGCGCCGGGCGGGAGGCGGCGCTGAGCGCGGGTTGCGGCGCCCCCTATCGGCCGCGCCCGGAGCCGCCCGCGGGGACCCGGCGGAGAAACCGCGGCTCGGCGGGGAGCGGAGCGGAGCCCCCCGGGCCGGCGGTGCTGGGTGGGGAGGTGGGTATGGGCAAGGTGAGACAGAGCCCGGAAATCATGGGAAGGGAAGCCTCCTCCAGCTTGAGCTGTGTGGATGTACGGTCATTAGATATAACGCCACCGACGTACGTGTGAGCGGAGCTGCCGAAAGCCCCGTCCCTGGAGAAGTGTCCCCGTATGCCGCTGTCGCCCGGCCAGTGTGCTGCTGCTGCGGGACCGCGCCGACAGCCCGCGCTCTAAGTGCCGCGGTAGCGGCTGGCACTGGGCGAATCCCTCGTCCCAGCTCCCGTTGCTGTCGGGACGCTGCAGCCTTCCGGATGCAGTGGTTGTGATTTCCCCCCGAGGCGCCGGCGCTAAGTCGCACTGACAGGTGTTACTTGCGAGCAGAGCTCGGCGGTTCCGTTTCATTAAGGCAGAATGTTCGCAAATATCGTATTTTAAGGCGAAGCGATGAAGTCGTCTTCCTCCTCCCTTCCAAAAAAAGAGCAAAATAATCCCCCTTCCCCCGATTCCTGAAAAAAGGAGAAGCGTTATCTTCAGTGAATGCGTAGAGCGGGGGTTTCTCCCCCTCTGTTGACAGATTTAAAAGAAAGCTGCGTGTTACAAAACCATCAGCCAAAATATGCGAGGTGCCGCATTGTCGCCAACTTAGACATGAATTCGCTACTTATTTTATAGGCATCTGCGCGGTGTTTGCGAGGTGCGGTGTTAACTGACCGCGATTTGTGCGGGGAGGAACGCTAATGGGAACCAAATGATTTCTGCCTAAATTGGGGTGATTTTGTCGCTCCTGTTGGCAGCCTGATTGAAAGTCCTAATGCCGCATTTCTTCTATGAAATGATTCCTACGGCCGTGCGTCTCACAGGAAACTTTTCTCTTTAGACATTATGTATGAATTGGGGTTTTTAAGGATCACTGTTCGTCGCGCTCCGTTCTCTCGGTTTGATCTCAGCTTGAGACTCCCAATGTGTCCCAAAATAAAGACATCGCGTTTTCTATAAATAATAGCAAGAGCCCTGCGCAGATTTCTGCACAACGGAATTCCCAGATTTCCTTTACTGTTTCTTCCCTCGGCGCGCGTTGGGTATATATAACTCTGAAATTAAGCAAAAATACACATCTGTATGGATCTGTCAAGCCAGCTATAAACAGAGATATTATATGTCAATTACCACAGGAAACGGAAAAAATCCAGAGCGGTTGGTACACACGTTCTAACGTCAGGAAGGCTTTGCAAAAAACGCAGTAACTCCTGCAGCAGTGTGAATGATTAACCCGGACCCGGAGCGGGGCTGCTGGGCTCCCCTGGAAACAGCAGAACAGCAGTGCTGAGGGGGTTGTAACGGGCTCGTAAAGTTCCCCCTCCGAGGGGCAGAAGTTGGCGCGTTGAATGAGGCTGTAACCAAAACAGGAGCGCTTCCCGGGCTGCTGCGGGTCGGTCCTAAAGCCGGGAGGGAGCCGGGGGTGGCACACACCTGGCACCGGGGGAGGGGGGGCAGCTCCGCGCTTGTCCCCACTTGGAGGTGAAGAGCGGTTTTACTTTATGTATGTCTTTTGGAAGTAGGCTTTATGAGTCCTCGTTTCCTCCAGCTCTCGAGGAGCAGAAGAGTGGAGGAAATAAATCCTAAAAGCAACAGGGATGCAGGGCAGGTTTGCTCGCTCTCCCTTCCCTTTCTCCTCCTCCATCCCCAGGCAGAGGGGTGCTGGGAGCAGCCCCATTCCCCTGCAGCGTCACACCCCAACCCAACCCTGAGGGTTCGTATTTTTCATGTGCCCTTCAGGCTCTCCTTGTCCACACACACAGGCCTAAGCTCTTCGGGGATGCCGGGGAGCGGCCGGGCTCCCTCCTGAAAAGGCTCTCCGGGGTCATCCTGGGGCGGAGGACAGCAGATAGGCACATGGGAAGCACTGATGGCATTATTTATAACACCGTCTCTCTGCTCTGATTAAGCATCGTCTAAATATGAATTCACAATATGGACAGCTAGTCTATAATTTGAATTAAAATCCCCCCAACGAGCCCGTCACTTGAGAATTCTGAAATCGCAAGCCTAAGTTGTCACAATGAGCCCATGGTGTCAATAAACCACGGGCGAGATGGAGAGATTGTCACTCCAGACCATAACAGTTCTGAAAGTGTCATTACCGTCTGTCCTGTCAATGAGCTCCAAATTAAGGACTATGAGGAACAGCGAGATAAAAGTCACCGTCTTGGCTCCATTATGGGCGATGGTGTCAGTGATCTGAGAGTCACTGGGAAGAGATTGCTTTTTTTCTTTCTTTCATTTTCTTTATTATTTTTTTTTTTTTATGTACTTTTCAAACCGTGCCTCGGGATTCCAGGGTTTGAGGTGCAACCTTGAAGCACCCCAGGCTGTTCCTCAGGCGGTCCCATTGAATCCGCAAGAGCTTCTTTGGGAAACGTCGTGAATTCAATGCAGGAGTCGGAATAATTCCATCAAAACTGCTCCGGGGCCAAAGAGAACTTCATTTGATTTGGGCGACACGTGTGATCCCATGCACAGACGCGTTTCTACACCTTTTTTTTTTTTTCTTTAGTCAATAGAAAGATGGTGAGGGGGAACGAGGGAAATAAAATAGAAACCTCAGCTTTGGTAAAAGACAATGGATTTGTGTGCGAGATGGCCCCTTCCAGGCATTAAAACTTTCAGAAAAAGGTCCCAATCTCTCCTTCCTGCGCGCCTGAGAGAGTTGAGGGGACTTATTCAGTAACTGGAAACCTTCAGCTCTGGATTTTTGTGCCTTTGTGGGTTTAGGCAAAGCAGTTAGTGTTCTTCAGGAGGGGTTTTGTGTTTAATATACATGAGTTCATTCAACTACAATGGGAAAAGAAAACTCATTTGTTCTTATAAAACTAGGAAGGAAAGATAACTTGAAATAGAGTGCCCAGAAGGGCCACTCAGGGGTGCCATGCCTGCACAGGGCCTGAGCCCAGGGCCGCTCACCCCATGGCATGTGGCAATTCCCAACCTCAGCCACATCGCTGCTGCTTGGTTTTCTGTTTTATTTTTAAGGTCATATAAAATAATAATAATAACGGCTTCCATTCTGCTCTGCTCCAGGATGGAGGGCCGGGAAGGGTATTTAGATGTGGGGAAGAGTCAGCCAGAGTTGGAGGGCCGTTTCTGGAGCCCTGGGAGCAGAGCAGGTTTGGACACACGGCCTCTCCACTTGCTGGAAGCCTTCTGAAAGCGACTTGGGGCGCCGGTGTGTGTGCGTGAGCCGGCTTTGCTGATGTTTATTGTATACGTTTGACTCGTCCCATCATCTCAGCTTTACGGTTATTTTTTTAAATTTCTCTTGTGGTCCCATAGAGGAAAGGTGGAGCCGCTCCCTCTTATTTCCTTTTCGATTTTTTTTTTTTTTTTTTTTTTTCTTTAAACGCTGTGTTGGTGCTTTTTTTCCCTTAACGCCGCTCAAAGTAGCAGCAGAGCTGCTGGAGGCGGTGGTCGCGGAGCGGCTCGTAGCGGACCGCCGGCACCCCCCGATCCCCGGAGCGCAGCCGGGCCCGGAGCTCGGCGCGGGGCGCTTGCGGGGCCACGAGCCGCTCGCACGTGTGCTTTCCCGGCTGTTCCATTAGGGAGAAGGGGGATGAAAGGCGACGCCGGGAGCAACGCGGAGCTCCCTCCGCATTCCCCAGCTTTCAAGGGTCCTTAGAGCCCTTGAATAAAATTATTGGGCGAAATTGGGGCTGGACGCAAGTTTGTGCCTCACCCCCCTCGATCGTTTGTACGTGTAATGCCACTTCTGAGAGCGACAATCGGGCTACTTGCTGGACAGGCAGGGACAAAAAGCAGATTAAACCGTTTTAAATAATAATAAAATATCCCAAACGCAAGCAGAGTGGATTACACTTGCTCCAGCGCCTCGGTACCCCCCCCCCCCCCCCCCCCCGCCCCCCCAGCGGCCGCCCGCGCCCTCCGGGCCGCTCCGAGCGGGTGGCCCCGGGCCGGCGGGGTGCGGGGCCCGGCGGGGTGCGGGCCGGCCCTGAACTCGGCCCCAACTTCTAAAGTTTGGCGGAGCTTTTTTTTGTTTTTTTCCTTCCTCTTTTTCTGTCCCCTCTTTTAAGTGCCCTCAGGTTGTCTCTGGGTCTGTCCGTCACCGTGGTGGAATTATTTCCTGGAGAAAATGTGGCGTTTTCGTCATTTGGGGAGCGTGAAGAAGGCGGAAGCCCCCCCTGCCCTGCCCTTCCGTGGGCTCGGACCCACTCGAAATGGTTTCAGTAGATTGCGGGGGACACTCAGGGTGTTCCTCCCGCTCTCGATAGCTGAGGTCCCCAGGGCTTGGGGCATGGGTAGTGTGTGGAACTGCCCGGGGAACTTCGGCTCTGCAGAAGGAGACGGGGGAGAGGAAATTTCTCTGTACATTTTCGTCTTCGGCTTTTTTTTTTTTTTTTTTTTTTTTTTTAAACATAATGAAATTAAAACTTTCGGAGCTCACAGTTGACATTTTGCGGAAAATTGAGTTATCAAGGCAGTAATTATTTCACAGGGAGATAAAACTCTCATAGCCCTAACTGTCAAATAGGGCCCTTTTCAGATTTTAATTACAAAATAAAATTAGTCTGCTCTTCCTCGGAAGGGTTTGTGAGTGGCTAAACAGAGCTTTCCCCAATACTGGTGGTCGTCAAACTCTGCTAATTAGCAATGCTGAGAAATTCCAGTTAACAAGGACATTCTCTAAGTCTCTGCAGGTTCCCTGCCGTTCGCCTTCATTTCCATAAGAAGATTAAGAGTGGAGGGGAACACACTCAAATGCAGATGCAGAAAAGAAGCGTTTTTAACAAGCATCATAATAGTAAGATGCTTGGCTAGTTCTCACCTAATTACTGCAAGTTAAACCTCTATTTGCAGCTAAGGACAAAAAATGGAGCTGCAATCTTCCATCTCCACAAGACCGCTTAATAGTTTGCTTAGATTGGTTACTGGCAGGTTCGGAAAAATAATATGAAAATGCGTATATTCTTTCCGATACAGTTAACACGATAGGCTGTATCCTCGGGGCTCAGAGAGAATCGGCGATTATTAGCACAGTAAATACGCAAAATCCAAGTCGTTAACGTTCATTTTCTTTTAAAGAAACGCATAACCTGGAAATAAGAGTGCGCGTGCCGCAGAGCCCATCACCGAGGACATTTGCGGACTATTTGCTTAATGCGACCACTTCGCATCTCCATAAATGATACCGAAGGGAGTCGTTTGATAAATCCGCTCGTGCTGAAGCAGCCCCGCTCTGCTCCCCCAGCGCCGTGCGCGGAGCCGCGGGGTCCGGCCGTGTTCATCCGCGCGCCCACCGCCCCCGGCGCAGCAGGCACGCACGGCCCGCACCCCATTTTCTAGAGCGCGTTATGATGCAGATGCTCCACATATAGTTGATGGCGTCGATAATTAAAGCGGTTAGTTCAAACGAAGCTGTAAATACCGCCCGATAACGCAGTTGTTGGGCATTTCCCACCCTTTATGGGTGCGATAAACGTGGTGAGGAAGGGGCCCGGCCCCGCACAGGGCCGCGCTCCGGTATCTGCTTATTATACCACCGCCGCCCGCTCCTCCCCGCTTTTCAAACTTCGTTATCCCCAAGATTGTATTATTATCATTATGATTTTGGATGTTGTTATCAACCGCAGGCCCTGGGCACGACCGATAAGAAAGCTTTTGGCGGCCCTGGGAGCGCGGGGTCAGCCGGTGTGCGCATCCCGCAAAGCGCGCCCCTTTTCCGACGCTTTCAACCCGTCGCTTCTGTCCAGGTTATATATACACCGGCTTGTATATACGCCTCGGAATTACACACGTTAAAGCGGAGAGCATTTATTTGCATCATCCAGAGATGCACCCTCATCCGCCGCACTTTTCCTGCGCGTTACCCGGACGGGGGGGGAGCACGGCCGCTCCCTTCCCCCTCCCCACTTCCCGCCGCTCCGCACCGCGCCGGCAGGGGGCGCCGCAGTGCCGCGGCTGAGCCCTCGCGGGGCGCCCGGCCGCTGCCCCGGCCCCAGCCCGGCCCTGCGCGGTGCCGCGCCGCTCGGGGGCCCTTCTCGGGGGGCCTCGGCGCTGCCGGGGAGCGCGGCCGCGGGCAAAGCAGCGCCGTCGGGGCGCGGCAGCGCGCGTAGAGCGGGGCCGGGAAGCGCCCCCTCTCCCGCCCCCCTTTCTCTCCCCTCCTTCCTTTGTCGTCAAGTGCGTTTTAGCAACAAAGATCCCGACAAGAGAGTGGAAGTAAACTTAGCCGGGGCTTTGTGCGGCCCCGTGTAGCGACAACAAGAGAAACAAAACTACCTATTTGTCCCTGCGGGCCGCCCCCTCCCCAACCCCCCCTCTCCGCTCGGCGCGCCCACCCAGCGTCGCACAGAGGGCGCGTCCCTGGGCTGCAGGCCGCGCACCGCGATCTGCGGGGAGGGCTGTCGGGGGTCCTCCGCTCCTGCTTCCAGCGGGCGCCTCCGGGTCGGAAGGAGGGAGAGAGAAGGGCACGGCACGGCCCCGTTCTGCGCGGGGCCCGCTCGGCTCCTCTCCGCGGCGCGGCACCGGGTCGGAGGGCTCCGCTCCCGGCGGACGGGGCGAGCGCCGCACACGCGGCCGGACGGCGACGGCTCGGGGGACACTTCGCAACGGGGCGCAGGGTCGGGGGGAAGCCATTCCCGCTCCCCCTATGGCTTCTCCCAACATCAACTTTAAAAACAACAACAACAACAACGTAGCAACAATGCTGTTTACCCACTTCCTCCAAAAGGCGTGTGTGACCTGTTGCTGGAAGGGGAGATACAAAGGCTTCCCAGTGGCTGCCTGGGCCGGCCCTGGGCCCGCCCCCCCCGCCGCGCCGTCCCGGCGGCTGAGAGCCCCCGCCCCGTTTCATGCAAAACCAGGGGTAGAGACTTGTCCTCAGTGGCGGAGCCGCCGAGCGCTGATTGGCCGGGGCGAACGCATTTATTCCCTGACAAGCCCCCATCACATGGATGGTTGTCTATTAACTTGTTCAAAAAAGTATCAGGAGTTGTCAAGGCAGAGAGAGAGAGTGTGTGTGTTTGCAAAAGGGGGTAAAGTAGTTTGCTGGCTCTTTAAGACCGAGGTGGAGAGAGAGAGAGAGGGAGAGAGAGAGAGGGCGGCAGGCAGAGAAAAGGGAAAAAGGAGGAAGAAGTTTTTTAAATCCGAAGCTCCGGCGGTAATAATAGCAGTTATTAGCATTATTAATCCATCAGCGAAGAGGAAGATTCTGATCTCGATCCAAGTGTGGTTTTGGGGAGTCCCCCTCCCCCCTTTCATACCCCTCCCTAGGAAAAAAAAAAAAAAAAAAAGTCCGGCTCGGGACTTCGCCGCCGCCGCTCCGCTTCTCCGCTCCGGGCTGGTTCCAGGCAAAAGTAGTTTGAATGTACAACATGATGGAAACCGAGCTGAAACCTCCCGCCCCCCAGCAAACTTCGGGGGGAGGCACAGGCAACTCCAACTCGGCCGCGAACAACCAGAAGAACAGCCCGGACCGGGTCAAGCGCCCCATGAACGCCTTCATGGTTTGGTCCCGCGGGCAGCGGCGGAAAATGGCCCAGGAGAACCCGAAGATGCACAACTCGGAGATCAGCAAACGGCTCGGGGCCGAGTGGAAACTTTTATCCGAGGCGGAGAAGAGACCCTTCATTGACGAAGCCAAACGGCTCCGAGCTCTGCACATGAAGGAGCACCCGGATTATAAATACCGACCCCGGAGGAAAACCAAGACCCTGATGAAGAAGGATAAGTACACGTTGCCAGGGGGCTTACTGGCGCCGGGCACCAATACCATGACGACCGGGGTAGGGGTTGGGGCCACCTTGGGAGCTGGGGTGAACCAGAGGATGGACAGTTATGCGCACATGAACGGCTGGACCAACGGAGGCTATGGGATGATGCAAGAGCAGCTCGGCTACCCGCAGCACCCGGGCTTGAACGCGCACAACGCGGCGCAGATGCAGCCCATGCACCGCTACGACGTGAGCGCCCTGCAGTACAACTCCATGACCAGCTCGCAGACGTACATGAACGGATCGCCTACCTACAGCATGTCGTACTCCCAGCAAGGGACCCCGGGCATGGCCCTGGGCTCCATGGGCTCGGTGGTCAAGACGGAATCCAGCTCCAGTCCCCCCGTAGTCACCTCCTCGTCTCATTCGAGGGCTCCTTGCCAAGCCGGGGACCTTCGGGACATGATCAGCATGTATCTACCAGGTGCTGAAGTACCAGAACCAGCTGCCCCAAGCAGACTTCATATGTCCCAACACTACCAGAGTGCACCTGTTCCTGGCACAGCCATTAATGGCACACTCCCTCTATCACATATGTAAGACAAAGGGGCCGGGGGGGCGGGGGTGGGGGGAAGGAGAACTAAACAAAACAAACAAACAACAACAACAAAAAACTTTTATTAGAAATTCTGGACTTTTTTTTTTTTTTTTCTTTCCTGGACTAATTTTTTAAAAGGGAAAAAGGGGGGGGGGGGGCGCCCCCCGGGGGGGCCAGAAATAAAGCCGACAAAGGAACTTGTATAGATCTCGGAGGGGAAGCGACTACACAAAACTTTTTAAAAGTTCTAGTGAGAACGGTAGGAACTTTGCAGGAAGTTTGCAAAAGTCTTTACCGCTAATATTTAGAGCTAGACTCAAAGAGCGAAGAGGAGAAATGTTTTAATATTTGCAGGCAACTTTTGTACAGTATTTATCAAACTCAACATGGCAATCAGAATGTCCATCGGTCATAGGGAGAGGGGAGAAATCAAACCCCAGAATTCGCGAGTGGTTTTTTACACACAGACTCTCCGTGGAGCTCCGTGGCCCTGGCAGCTCTGCTGACGGCAGCTGCGGGAGGAGAGGGAGTTCTTGTGCAGCATTTGGACGTTGAAATTGTTTTAGAAATTGTACAAAAGGCAGAAGCGGTAGGAAGGGGACTGGCGAACCGTGGGCTTGGTTTGCTGGGTGAGGGCAAACGTTTCGATGTACGACATTTTTATTTTATTTTATTTTATTTTTTACTTCTTGTTAAAAAAGCAAAAATTGCCATGAAGGTTCACACGCCGTTTGTTAATTTATAATAACTTTTTTTGTTTCCAGACTTCATCCCGTTCAAAGAAAAGGGAAAAAAAAACAAAAACAAAAACAAAAACAAACAAACAAAAAAAAAAAACCACCAACCTGAAATTACTGTGTTTGAAATATTTTCTTATGGTTTGTAATATTTCTGTACATTTATTGTGATGATATTTTAAGTTCTTTTTTTTTTTTTTTTCCTCAGTTTCCGTAGTTGTATTTTAAAGATTCGGCTCTGTATTATTTGCAATCAGTCTGCCGACAGTCCATGTATATATTTGAACTAATACCATCCTTATAACAGGTACATATCCAAGTTAAGTTTTTACTCCATTATGCACAGTTTGAGATAAATAAATTTTTGACATATGGACACTGAAGTTCCGTTTGAGTGTTGGATTTATTTTTGTACCGCAAGCTGCTTTTTTTTTGTTGTTGTGGTGGTTTTTTTTTAATTATTATTATTATTTTTCAATAATTCATCAGAGGAAGGTATCCCCGCGGCCGACAGACTGTTATAAATAATGCAGCCGTATACCGAGGCATGAATATTTTTATACGTGTGGATAGACAGGGTCGCAGCGCGATACGCTTTACCGGAACGGCCGTCCTCGACGCACGGCGGTGCGGAGCGGAGGCCCCGGTCCCGTCCGCTCGGCCACTTGTTGCCGGGGGATCCGCGCTCCCAACGCGCCCGGCGGTGCCCTCTGAGCCGTGCGGGCCTTCGGGGCGCGGTGCGGGGCTACGGGGCTGCTGCGGGGCCGAGCGCTGCCTTTGTTCCGCACTTGCCGAAGTTTCCGCTCCTCGCTCCGGGGCAGCGCAGGAGGAGGTGAGAGGTGGGGGCGGAGGGGGATCGGTCGGGCAAAGGTAAGGAACGAGAAAAGCGGCACAAACGAGCAGGACAAAACGAGACGGGCGAACGGCGGAGACTCGCACGCGAAATGACAGCTCTTTCTTGAATCCTATTTCTTAAATTGCCAGCGCGGTGTAGCCCCAATTCGGACAATCTCTGCGGCCGGTCGCGAGCCCCAAAGAGAAGCGCTGGCGCCCGCCACGTAGGAGGAGATCTCCGCCGTCGGTGCCAGGTAGAGTTCTGCTTCGTGCGCTCGGAACCGCCGCCGCCGAGGGCCGCTCGGTGCTGCCCGGCCCGGCGGGGGCGGCGAGAGGGGAGCGGCGGCGCTGCCCCTGGCACCCGGGCGGCCCCGCGTGGGTCCGCGCTGCCAACGCGTCTGCGGGCCGCATCGGGACTGCGAGTGGGGAGGTGCGGGTAGGAATGGGAGGAACGCGGCGCCCGAGGAAGCGGGGGGCCGTGATTGCAAAGCGGTCGCGTGTCCTGCTCGTGGCTGTCGTGCTTGGAGGCACGGACGTGGCGGTTTGCTTAGGCACAGGCCGGGTGCGAGTGTGGTTCAGCTTTTCTTTCTCGTGTTTCTGGTCGGTCTCCCGATTGCGATTTAGCTCAGGGAGGAACAAACGGGGAAAAAAAAAGCGGGCAGAAATCACAAAAGAAGAGTTGGCCGGCTCGCTGTGGTTTGTGTCGTTGCGCTGTTCGCCAGGCTCGGCTCCGGCCTCCGTACTTGGAGCCGGGTGCCCGGAGAACTCCCGTTGCCGGGCTGTGGGGCTCCTCTGCTCACTGTGCTGCAGCTCAGCTCCCTTTGTCCCTTTTATTTCCGCGCCGTCGCGGTGTTTGGGCACACGGCAATTATTGCACATTCCCAACCTATTCTATTTCTTTTGCATTAATGCAACGAGTAAAATATTTTTTTTTTCAGAGCTGTGCGGCGTTTGTAATGCAACTGGGGATTATTCACGTGGTAGTGAGCGCGCAGTCCCGCTCCGCTCCCCTCGCTGAGAAAAGGGGACTGGGAATAAAAGCCCAATCGATATCTCGATCCCATTTTTTTAGAGCGAATCTTAGCCAATTAACAGCAATAAAACCGGGCCCCTTTTTGAAGTGCTAACTGGAATAGTCGAGGGGGGTAGCTGGAATCGTTGGTGCTTTTACAATTCGCATAAAGAAGGCGAGGTAATACCATTAAACAAAGGCACTAAACCACATATTCAGGCTTAGTGTTTTCAGCAACTTTTTATATGGGCAATTTGTTTGAGCTTAGATTTCGGACTATGATGTGAAATATATGCTGGTGAAACCTGATCTCCCTTGGGCAGATTCCTCCCATCCATCCATCCATCCATCCATCCATCCATCCATCCATCCATCCA